TTTTGAGACAGAGTCTTGCTCTGTTGCCCAGGCTAGGGTGCAGTGGCACGATCTCTGCTCACTGCAACCTCCGCCTCCCAGGTTTAAGCAATTCTCCTGCCTCAGCCTCCCGAGGGATAGGATTACAGGCATGCACCGCCATGCCTGGCCAATTTTTGTATTTTTAGTAGAGACAGGGTTTCTCCATGTTGGTGAGGTTGGTCTCAAACTGTCAACCTCAGGTCATCTGCCTGCCTCAGCGTCCCAAAGTGCTGGGATTACAGGCATGAGCCACCACACCAGGCCTTGCCTTTACTTTTAATGGCAAAAACTGCAATTACTTTTACACCAACCTAATATAAACCCTAAACATTCTTATCTTGAGCTTTACATTTTTCAATTTGAGATTTGATTTTATGAAAGAGGAACAAAGATTTATTTAATATAATTTTTTTATTGTACTGATAAAAACTTATAATACTTTGACTTTTTTTTTGCTTTTTAGCCTAAATTTGAGAAGAAAAGGTACTTCTTCTTTGGGGTGCTGTGTGGGCTTTCCCTGTTCAATTGCAGTGTTGCCAACCTCCCTTTCCCACTGGCACTGTTTAAGAAACTTTTGGACCAAATGCCATCATTGGAAGACTTAAAAGAACTCAGTCCTGATTTGGGAAAGTAAGTAAATGTAGTTTCTGGGAAAGGACCCTATCTAACATATATTTAGGCAAATATTTAAATTCACATGCTTCATAATATTTTCATGTTCAATAGCAGCATTTTAGGTGCTTTAGACCAGTTTCAACTTTGACAAGAATTGTTGGGTAACAGTTTCATTTTCTATTAAGAAGTGTTGATTATTTCCATAACTAGTCTTCAATGTTTGCACTAATCTTTCAACTTTTTCTGTGTAGAAGCAGTCATGCACAGAGCACAGGTTGCACCTTGGTGCAAAATCTGCTAGTGATGGTTGTATTAAATGCTGTTTCATGTTATCAACTTTAAAATGGAAACTCATTTCTAAGTTAAAAGAGAAGCCACCACCTCACAAAAAAATGGCAACAGTAGAAGGGTTTTAATATCCCTGCTGTGTATAGCATTCCTGCACATCCATAAGAAATACTGATAAAGTATCGAAGAAGGCAACTTGGGAAAGAAGCAATAGAAATGCCTCCTAAATAAAATGTCTTCAACCTCACCAGTGCTCATAGAATGCATATTAAAATGAGAAGCTAATTTATACTTCAAATTGACTGTGGTTTGAAGTGTTGATGCTATGTGGTATTAGCAAGGGCTTGAAAAGTTTCATTCTAATTTCAAGTATTATTAGTGGAAATATAAATTGGTACTCCTTTTCAGAGAACAGTGTGGCAGGATTTATCAAAATCAAAATGTGTTTGCCTTATTGATTCAACAATTCTACTTCTAGACATTTAACTTTCAGAAATATACAACCGCGCAACGATCGCTGTATGCTAATATACACTGTATTTATAGTTTATAATATAAAGACTCCCTAAATGTCCCTCAATAAGGGAATGATATATTTTTGGTATACTTATGCAATGAAATACTACAGAGAGTTCGTGTCCTTTGTAGGGACATGGATGGACCAGGAAACCATCATTCTCAGCAAACTGACACAAGAGCAGAAAATCAAACACTGCATGTTCTCACTCATAGGCAGGTGTTGAACAATGAGAACACAGGGAGGGGAGCACTACACACTGGGGTCTGTTGAGGGGATATAGGGGAGGGACAGCGAGAGGTGGGGAGTTGGGGAGAGATAGCATGGAGAGAAATGCCAGATATAGGTGATGGGGAGGAAGGCAGCAAATCACACTGCCACGTGTGTACCTATGCGACAATCTTGCATGTTCTTCACATGTACTTCAAAACCTAAAATTCAATTTTAAAAAAAAAGGGTAAGAACAGGCCAGGTATGATGGCTTATCCCTGTAATCCTAGCACTTTGGGAGGCTGAGGCAGATGGATTGCTTGAGCCTAGGAGTTTGAGACCAGCCTGGCCAACATAGCGAGAACTCATCTGCGCAACCCTGGCAAATAAGTTAAAAAATTAGCGAGGCATGGTGGTGATGGTGGTGGGCAGCTACAGTCCTACCTATTCCAGAGGCTGAGGCAGGTGGATAGATTGAGCCTGGGAGGTTGAAGCTGTAGTGAGCCATGATTATACCACTGCACTCCAGCCTGGACAACAGAAGAAGACCCTGTCTCAANAAAAAAAAAAAATTAGCCAGGCATGGTGGCACATGCCTGTGGTCCCAGCTACTCAGGAGGCTGAGGTGGGTGGATAGATTGAGCCTGGGAGGTTGAAGCTGTAGTGAGCCATGATTATACCACTGCACTCCAGCCTGGACAACAGAAGAAGACCCTGTCTCAATTTAAAAAGAAGAATAAGAACAATAATATGATTTTAGTATTATTATCATCCCTCTTTTACAGATTTAGAAAGTAAAACACAGAGAGGTTAGGTAACTTGCTCAAGGCCCCATAATGGCAGAACCATGATTTGAACACAGTCTGGCTGCAGAATCTGTTAATCATTATACTAACTATACTAATAAGACAAAAGGAAAAAAATATCAAAAGCGCAAGATTTAGAAAGAAAGAGATAAATTAGTCATTATTTTACTGGAAACATTGATGATAATGTAAATAATGCTTATGCCTCAAAAGACTTAATAAACTTAATAACAATATACATGAACTAAAAGATCTTTAAATTTGTATCATTGTTTCTCAAACTTTTAGGTCTTAAGATGCTCTTAAAAATTATTGAGGACTCCAGAGGGCTTTTACTTAGGTTGGTTACATCTGTCAATATTTACAAGATTAGAAATTAAATATTTTAAACACAGGAATATACAAATATTCATTCTGTTAGCTATCAGAGCATTCCACAGTATCATATAGGCTCTTGAAAACTCTTATTTTTATGTATGTATGTATGTATATATTTTGAGATGGAGTCTCACTCTGTCGCCCAGGCTGGAGTGCAGTGGTGCAATCTCGGCCCACTGCAACCTCCACCTCCCAGATTCAAGCAGTTCTCTGCCTGAGCCTCCTGAGTAGCTGGGATTACAAGAGCCCACGACCACGCTCTGCTAATTTTTTTTTGTATTCTTAGTAGAAACAGGGTTTCACCATCTTGGCCAGGCTGGTCTTGAACTCCTCACCTTGTGATCCACCCCCTCAGCCTCCCAAAGTGCTGGGATTACAGGTGTGAGCCACCGCACCTGGCAGAAAACTCTTCTCTTGTCACAACAGAATGTGGAAAGAGGCAAATAATATCTTAATGATGTTATAAAAATAGTTTTGACCTCATTAACTCTATAAAGGCCCAAGGATTCCCAAGAATTGCTGGACTGGCTCAGATTCACTGATCTCTGTATTCATTAAAACTCCAATTTTAATCCCAGGAGGCTTTTTATTAAACTTGACAACCTGGTTCTAAAATTTATATGGACAGACAACAAAGGGCCAAGAATAGCCAGGAATAATTCTTAAATAAAGATGGAGAACTTGGTCTGTCAGCTATCAAGAATTATTAGAAAGCTGTATTAATTAGGACAGTATGATATTGGTGCAGGTTTTCCAAAAGAACAGAAGAGAAATCTCAGAAATGGACCCATGCCTATATGGAACTTTATTAGAAGTGACATATTTGATCAAGGGGAATAGGAGTACTACTTAATAAATGGAGCTGGAAAAAAATGATATCTACCTAGGGAAAAAATAAAAGTGGATCCTTGTCTTATGCCATATATGATAGTCAACTTCATGTAGATGAAGGATTTAGATATTAAATGCAAAAATCATGAAAATATAGAAGAATTATCTTGTGAGATTTCTTAAAGAAGACATGCAGTGCACCAGCATTAAGGAAAAAATTAATAAATTTAACTATGATAAGATTTAAAAACTTCTCTTTTCATCAAGAGGGTATTAGAAAAATGCAGAAGACAAGGTGCTATGGGGGTCTGAATGTATTCCCCCAAAATTCATATTTTGAAGTCTAATCCCCAGTGTGGAGCCCTTATGAGTGAAATTCATTCCCTTATGAAAGAGGCCCAAGGCTCAAGGGTGCCTGTTTGCCCCTTCCACCATGAGAGGACACATAGAAGACACCATTGAAAAGGAATGGGTCATCACCCATTTTCTTTAGATTCAGACACCAAATCTGCTGGCACTTTGATCTTGGATTTCCAAGCCTCCAGAAGTGTGAGCAATAAATTTCTATTTATAAATTACTCAGTCTAAGGTATTTTGTTATAGCAGCCTAAATGAGCTAAGAGAAATTGGTACCAAGAAGTGGGATGTTGGAAGCAAATTTGGAACTGAGTAATGAGTAAGTAGTGGAAGAGTTTTGAGATACATGCTAGAAAAATCCTGTATTGCCCTATAGAGCAGTTCTGGCAAGGGCTCAGAAGAAGAAAAGACCTGTAGAGAAATCCCCAGTCTTCTTAAAGATTACCTAAGTGATCGTAATCAGCACGTTAGTAGAAACACAGACGATAAAGGCAATCCTGAAGAGGCCTCAGATGGAAGTGAGGAACACATTGGAAATTGGAAGAGAGGTGAACTTTGTTATTACATAAAGTGGCAAAGAATATGGCTGAATTGTGTTGTATCCTAGTGTTTTGTGGAAAGTAAGATTCTTAACAACAAAATAGGATATTTGACAGAAGAAATCTCTAAGCAAAGTAGTAAAGGAGCATTATGGCTTTTCTTGACTGCTTATACCAAAATGCAAGCAGGGAGAATTATTTGAAGTGGAATTTATTATTAGAAAAGAAACCGAACTTAAAAGATTTGGCATGTGCCTATGATTCTAGGTAGGAGGCTGAAGCATGAGCATCGCTTGAACTTGGGAGGTGGAGATTGCAGTGAGCCCAGATCACACCTGTGCACTCAAACCTGGGCCACAGAGTGAGACTCTGTCTCAAAATAAATTAAATTAAATACAATGATGGAAAAGGCAGAGGATAGACATTCCCAATTCAAAAGGGAGTAATAGGAAAGAATAAAGGGGTAATAGGTCCCAACAAAGTCCAAAACCCAACATGGCATGCAACATTAAATCTTAAGGCTTGAGAACAATCTTTGACTCAATGTCTCACCTTCAGGACACACTAGAGTTGGGGTTGGGCTCCTAAGTTTCCAGGCAGCCCAATCCCCATGGCTTTGTTGGGCACAGCCCACCTGGAAGCTCGTACACATTAATGTTGAGTGCTTGTGGTTCTCCCTCAGGCAAGAATTGCACACTGGTGGCTCTTCTGGGGTCTCTAGAGCAGCCTTCCACCCATGACTCTACTAGGTACTGTCTTAGTGGACTGTGCTCTTTTAAGCCTATACCTATGTGATTTCCATAGTTCTCTGCCCACATACCTCACTGTATTGTAGGTGGAACTCCCATCAGCATACCTCACCTTCAAGTTCCAGAGTTTATTGGCAGTAATATCTTAGTCTCAACTAAACATCCCCTGTGCCCTCTACAGTAGGGGTTGCTTAAATGTTTGTTGAATAAATATTTGAGTGAATGAGCAAATAAAAGACGTGTTACTTCAGCGCATGTATAAAGCATCATAGAATGACAGGAAATATTTAAAAATTGGTTACTGTCCATTTTGATGTGACCTCTATTCTCACAAATGCCCTGAAACTATTAAGGCAGTCTAATTTCAGGTGTTTCTTAAGCTTGATGATATTGGGACAAGAGATGCAGAGAAGGTCATTTGACCCACCCACTCCTCAGTTACTGATACCTGATATATAATATGAGACCTATTCTGTAAATTTCAAAAACTTCAATAAAGGTAACACCAGTATGAATGAGTTTTCAGCATCAGTGAACATGTTATGAATCTTTTTCTGAATAGAAACCTACAATCATTAGGTAAGGAATTTAGGGTAAAGGGAAGAGAGCTATAAAGTAGGCAGTCAGCCTGCAGAATTGCAGATAAACTTCCTAAATTTGACATGTTTAGTTGAGGTCTGGCCCTGTTTAGACTATCAGTATGCTGAGAAAGAGGTGCTGTGAACTATACCTGACCTCCTACCTTCAGAATAGCTATACATTGTTTATTTTAGATATGTCTAGTGATCATGGTTATTACCTTTTTAAAGACAAGATTATTTTTTCTTAGGAATTTGCAAACAATTCTGGATGATGAAGGTGATAACTTTGAAGAAGTATTTTACATCCATTTTAATGTGAGTAACAATAAAAGCAGATAACAGATTAATTTTAATCTGATTAATCCTCAACATATTTAACCAAACATGTCAACTTTTACTTAAAAAACCTGAATTAGTGAGAAAGGTATTGTTCTTCATCATGATCTGGGTGCATCAGTTAGATTTTACTATGTAACAGCCAACCCTAAAACCTAGTGGCCTAAACAACAGATACAATTTTGTGGATTTCCAAACTGGGCCAACTTAACTGGGCTGGATGTTCTACAGTGGTGTCATTCACACACCTAGTAGCTGGCAGAGGCTGGTTGGGTTAAAGGATATCAACTGGAACAGCTTATCTCAGTTCCCTGTGGTCTCTCATTCTCCAATAAGCTAGCTGAGGCTTTTGAAGCAAGACTGCAGGCTATTCTTCACATGGTGGCCTTAAGGTTACAGAGAGGAAGAGATAGCAAGCTCAAGCACACAAGCTTCTGCTTCCGTTAGATCCCATTGGCTAAAGTACTTCACACGGCCATGCCCAGATTCAGTGGCTGAAGAGATAGCCTCCCCGCTTGATTGGAAGTGTTGCAAGTCACAGGCAAAAGGGCAGGAGAACCAGGATGGGAAGAATTTGTGGCCATTTTTGTAAATCTACCATACTGGGTCTACACAGTATGAAGTGAATACTGAGATATGGCAGTTTTCCAATTAATTTGTTTAATTTGATCAGTTACAATAAGAGAACTCAAGCTTTGAAAAAATTCGTTTTTATTCAGTATGATAGGGTATAATTTTTTGTTTGTAAATTCCATGCTACCTTTTGTGACAAAAATACACATTTTTAAAAATTCTTTAGAAAAGGTAGCATGATCCAAAGTGTTTTTGTTGATGATAGATTGTTCAAAATTATGTTGGAGATATTATCCGAGTTCATTTTTGGTTACAGGTACACTGGGACAGAAATGACACCGACTTAATTCCTAATGGAAGTAACATAATTGTCAACCAGACTAACAAGTAGGTACAAATAAATGAAATATTTGGTTTGTATATATACTATTTTTATTTCACTGAGCTCTAAAAATTCCTTTTAGCTCTTGTAATTTTTCATTCTCAATCATTTTTCACTAAGGCAGAGAATTTGGTGTGTGTTGTATGTGTTTTTACATATATATCATGGAGTTTATATTGTGGTAAAGAATGGAAATGGCTTTCTCATAGAGACCTTTCCTTTTCTTCCTGTCCAAAATTATAACACCAACATCTGCCCCTCTTCATCCATTCACTCTGCTTTACTTTTTCTTTTCATATCACACGTCACCTACCCTAAGAGTTTATTTGCTTATTTATTTCTCATTTTTTTTCCCCATGATAGTCAATGTGTTAGGGGCTTGGTCTGTATTCTTCACCACTGTATATTCAGTACCTAGAGTATCTACAGTGGTGCCTGGTACATTGCAGGCACCTAGTAAGTATTTGTTGAAAACATTACTATGGTATTTTGACTTCCCAATATCTTATAGAATGCCATTTAAAGCCATGGAGTTTGGGATTATAGAACGTCCCCTTGATAGTTGGTCAAAGTAGCAAAGAGATCACTACGAAGCATGCTGGCCTACATCACATCTTTTTCCATGATTTTCTAATCTTTTTAAAAAACTTTGTATTGAAGTGTAATCTATAAAACAGAAAATTGCACAAATTCTAAATGCATAGTTTAGTGAATTTCACAAAGCAAACATGCCTTTGTAATTACTAGCCAGATCAAGAAATAAAACATTTCCATCTATATAGTTGTATATTGTATGAATACATCACAGTTTATATATCTGTAGTATTTCAGGTTTTGTACTATTATGCATAATGCTATGGTGAACATTCTTGTACATGTGTTTTGTTTATGTACGGGCATTTCTGTTGGTATGTAACTGGGAGAAGTGCTCAGTGCCTTGTGGTTGCCCCTTGACCCATGCAGAGCAGGATCAACACTCCTCCCTGAAATTCATTTGGATATTGATATGGATGATGCCATATATATGCCAGAGAGTTTGAAAATGTTTAGTACATAATGGGGGCTTCTGGGGAGAGCTGGACAGGCATCCAAGTTGGTCTGTTTGGCTTAAGTGAAGAGAGAGGCAGGTGGCTTTAGTTTTTATGGTGGTTCAGGCCTGGGGCCGGGGTCAGGGTTCCCTTGCAACCCAGAGCATGTGTGAGGAAGTTTAAGCCATGCAACCATCAGTGGATGCCCAGGGAGCAAGCCTGTGTTGTGCAGCTGTGGAGGCAAAAGAGGAAAAAGGAGGAGGAGTGGGACTTGAAAGCTGTCAATAAGCAAACAAAAAATGGAGGCAGACTTTCATCAGTAGGGTATGACAGTTCTAATTGCTCCATATCCACTCTAATACTTAGTATTACTAGTCTTTTTTAAATTAGCCATTTTAGTGGGTATATAGTAGTATTTCATTGTGGTTTTAATTTGCATTTCTCTGATTATTAATGCTAAGCACTTTATATGCTTATTGGCTGTTTGAATGTCCTCTTTTCAGAAATAATTATTCCTCATCTTTAGTCTATTTTTCTGTTGCTTTTTTTTTTTCTTGTCAGTTTATGGGAGTTCTAGATGCAAGTATTTTGTTGGTTATATGTACTGCAAATATCTTCTTATATACTGTAGCTTGTCTTTTCACTTTTTAAATGTGTCTTTTGATTAACCAAAATTTGTAATTGTAATGTAGTCCACTTTATCAATATTTTCCTTAATGCTTAGTATTTTTCTGTTTTTCTATTTTCTGAATACTTTCCTATCCTATGGCTATGAACATATTCCCCTATATTTTCTTCTAGAAGCTTATTTTATTTCTCATATTTAGATCTACAATCCACTTTAATTGATTTTTTAATAAGATGCAAGATATGGATCAGGTTTTATTTTTTCATTTAACTGTGATTGTGCCAGGTGTGGTGGCTCACACCTGTAATCCCAGCACTTTGGGAGGCCCAGGTGGGCGGATCACAAGGTCAAGAGCTCAAGACTATCCTGGCCAACATGGTGAAACCCCATCTCTACTAAAAATACAAAACTTAACTGGGCATGGTGGCATGCACCTATAGTCCCAGCTACTAGGGAAGCTGAGGCGGGAGAATCGCTTGAGCCCGGGAGGTGGAGGTGGCAGTGAGCTGAGATCGTGCCATTGCACTCCACCCCAGTGACCGAGCAAGACTCCATCTCAAAAAAAAAAAAAAACTGTGATTGTATTAAACCTATATAGATCAATTTTGGGAAAGTTGACTTTTTTTTTTTTTTTTTTAAGATGGAGTTTCGCTCTTGTTGCTTAAGCTGTAGTGAAATGGCACGATCTCTGCTCACTGCAGCCTCTGCCTCCCGGGTTCAGACAATTCTCCTGCCTCAGCCTCCAGAGTAGCTGGGATTACAGGCCTATATCACTATGTCCAGCTAATTTTTTGTTTTTTTAGTAGAAATGGGGTTTCACCATGTTAGCCAGGTTGGTCTCAAACTCCTGACCTCAGGTGATATGCCTGCTTTGGCCTCCCAAAGTGCTGAGATTACAGGCACCAGCCATCGCACCTGGCAACATCTTAAAATAATGAGTCTTTAATCTATGAATATAGAATCTCCATTTGTTTAGCTTGTTTTTAGTCATTCTTGAAAAAAATGTTATGTAGTTTTCTATGTAGAGATCTTGCTGCAGTATTCTAAATAGGTTTCTTGGATCATTTATTGTATTTGAATCTTCTCGGTCCCTAAAATTTTTTGTCCGCTTTTTTTTTTTCTTTTTTTTTTTTTAGACAGAGTCTCACTCTGTCACCAGGCTGGAGTGCAGTGGTGCAATCCCAGTTCACTGGAACCTCTGCCTCCCCAGTTCAAGCGATTCTCCTGCCTCAGCCTCCCAAGTAGCTGGGACTACAGGCAGGAGCCACCACGAGAGACAGGGTTTCACCATGCTGGCCAGGATGTTCTCCATTTCTTGACCTCATGATCAGCCCACCTGGGCCTCCCAAAGTGCTGGGATTACAGGCGTGAGCCACCGCTCCCAGCAGCTTTTCTGCTAGTTACTAGAACAGGTATATTAGCATCTATACTATACATGTGGATATGACTGTTTCTTTAAGTTTTGTTAAGTTACTAATTCTTTTTTTTTTTTGAGATGGAGTTTCACTGTTGTTACCCAGGCTGGAGTGCAATGGCGCGACCTCGGCTAACCGCGTCCTCCGCCTCCTGGGTTCAGGCAATTCTCCTGGGTTCAGGCAATTCTCCTGCCTCAACCTCCTCAGTAGCTGGGATTACAGGCACGCGCCACCAAGCCCAGCTAATGTTTTGTATTTTTAGTAGAGACGGGGTTTCACCATGTTGACCAGGATGGTCTCGATCTCTTGACCTCGTGATCCACCCGCCTCGCCCTCCAAAGTGCTGGGATTACAGGCTTGAGCCACTGCGCCCGG